CTTCTCCGAGCTCTATTGGGAAGACGTGACTAATGTGAAGTTCAACCTGTTCGGTTGTAGACAGTAACCAACGAAGACTGTGTATGAGATTGCTCAACTCCGTGAATTTGATCAAGTTAGACATTAACACCATTAGATACCGGCTCAGTGGTCCGATTGTTAGGCGTTCGCCTACAATACTGAAGGCCCTATGTTCGAATCCTGCGGGGTGCAGGAGTCGTGGATGCGCACTACCATTGATGATTTCCATACTAGGACTAAACGGCTGTGTTTCAGTGCTTCAAGGTTTCTAATGGTGGTCTAACATTGATCATCGATTCATGGTTTCAAAAATGTGTATTTTTATATAAGCAAAATAAAATTCAGTAAATATGCATCATAAAGCCATTACTACTTCATTCGATTTAAACAATTTTTTTTTGAATAACTAAAAATATCAACAAAAAAAACATGAAATGTAAAGAATTCATCATGAATTTACATCAAACATTCAATACGGATTAAATACAAGAAAACAGTTAGCTAAAGCATGAAGTCTAAATACGTGCATCGGTTTTTAATTCCTAAACAGGACATAGTATTCCAGTTAATTAGATTAATTTAAAGCTCCAGTAAAAAACAAAATCCCAATAAGATTGTCAACGTAACACAATATGCGTGTTACCAGTAGTAATAGGACTCACTCATTGCATTAAAATAGCATTTCCGTGTTTTGTTCTCAAAACTGTTTGATGAAAAACAAATTGTCATCATAATCTTTGCACTCTGATTATTATAACATTCCTCGAATCGATTCGTTTTTTGTTCACGTAAATATTGTTTCTTTCTGCTGACGTTCACAATGTGTATTTTTGGAAAAGGTGATAAATTTTTATTAATAACTAGCTTTTTAATATAAGATGCTGACCTAGATTCTTGACATCACAAATCTTGCCTCCAAAAAAGAAGAAAAACGAAAATTCATGGAAAACAGTTTTGAATTCGTTCATGTTTTGTCAACTTTAAGATATCAACAAGAGTATAATCTGTACATTCTTGTATCTTTGTAGAATGAGTAAAATCAGCTGGCTGTTATACAAAACAGTTGATATTGTCATTGTTTAAGATAGATAGAATATTTTAAGAAGTAACTTAGTATTCCATAGGCAATTTATTTTTGAACACTTTATACGTAAGTATGTTTGTTATTATGTGAGTATTTTTCCATCAATACACATCCATGGTGGTACAATTTTGGAATATAAAAAACGAAAGAAAGATGGCAAATCAATACGAGGCGATTTCTCAATGCTAGTTTAGATTACAAGATAAGGTAGTAAGTTAAGACTGAGGTGGTTGGGACATGTGCTGCTTATGCCTAACCACCGACTGCCTCCACGAGCTTTGTTTTGTAGTGTAGGAGTAGGTTGGAAGAAAGTTAGAGGCGGCCAGACCAAAACATGGCACAAATCCATGAAGTCATTGACAAGTGGACTGAGCCCTGTCGGTAGATGTAGGCTACGTGATTGGGGTCAGCGAGACGAAAAACACCAATGGTTAGAGACCTTGAACGACATAGCTCAAAACCGTCTGCAATGGCGCCAGTGCATTTATTCTTTGTGTTCTCTCAAATCCTAATCTTCTGGATTCTTCAACACCTCTAGTTTTAACTTTCTAAACCTTTTTCACTGAATCATACTTCTTCAATAATATCTTCTAAACCTAACCTCTCCGATTACTTCTAATACCTTTTACTTCCTCTACTACTATTGAATTTCAATTGACGATTATATCTCTGTGCTGATGTGGTATTGCAACATGAACTGATGTACTTACGTAAGAATTTCTGCGTTGCATCTGACTGACTGACTGACTGACTGACTGATTAAGTTAAGACACAAAGGATGTTAAATTATTATTAACTTAAGCATGGTTTTCTGGGCGCATTGTGTCACATTCAGTCATTTAGTTTACTGTTTGGAAGCAGGATGTAGTTTGTAAGGTTTAAACTGATGTCAATTCGAACAAGTGACAAAGAGGGAAATGGACAGGAAAAAATTGCACTTCCTGAAGACTGATGATTATGATGACGATGTTAATTTAGTTTGAATTAATAAAACATAGGGAATTACTGAGAGTCAGACGTTATATTACGTTATGTATTGCACCAGTGAACAGCTCACGTAAAATGAGTCATTATAATGCATATAGTAATCTAAAATTAAAATACGAACATCGGAAAAGACTACATAGAATGGCTTCAGTTCTTGTAAAGTGATTGACTAGCACAGGTAAGTTGAATGTTATATCCAAACGTGATTTTTCTTTAATTTTTCTCAACTTTGAAGCAATTTTTCTCCTAAATAATGATCACAGTCGCTTTTAATTTATAAACAAATCATCTAATAAGTAGTCAGTTTGTTTTAGATTATACTCATTTCGTCATTCATAAAGGTAATGTTTATACTGTATGTATCAAAAGAAATTCTCATTACCTAATGTTCATAAGATATTACAAAGCATTTGCAGCAGTTGTGTATCATATTCAATACATTGAAAATGATATATAAGAATATTTTCTCATATTTCTCGGATTCATTAGAAAAACACATTAGAAATTATCACAAGCTAGGTGAGTTTTAACTACCTAATACTTGGTAAACGTTTAATTTTAATTTCAACTAGGATGCTTAATAGAATTAAAACAAATACAATGATGAAGCATTGTTGCGTTAAAAAAATTAGCTACCCCTATTCAATAACATTTTTATAATATAAAAATTTGAATATTTCATTGGATTTATATTAGTCCATACAAAAAATGTTTGATTCATGATATCAGTGAAACTCAATAACTTTCACAATCTCATAATAAAAATGTACAAGGTTTAAGATTGAACTCTTGGTTATTAGTTCGTAGACAACAATTTGAAAAACTAGTCATAGTATATAAAAAAATCAATCGACTTATACTGCTTGCAATTATCAATATAGACAATGAAATTAAACACAATAGAACAATATATTGAAAAATATTATTGTTTTTTACGAATCATAAAATTATGTCAATCTTCACAGATCTGAAACTAAAAAATTACTTCAATATCATGAAATAAATATCCTTGATTTTCAATTAGAGTTATGAAGATTAGTGCTTTTACACATTTGAAATCATCAGTCAATCAATTGTTAGATCACCTTTAGAAACCTAGAAGCACTGAAATACGGCCGTTTCTTCCGGGTATGGAACTGATCAGCAGTGCGCATCCTTGACTCCTGCATATCACAGGATTCGAAACCGGGACATTCGGTATTGTGCGCGAACGGCTAACCATCGGACCACTGGGCCGGCATCCAATGGTGGCAATGTCTAACTCTGACTGATTTAGGGATTTTGCGCGACCTCACCCATTTGTCTTCGGTAGTTACTGCCTACACCCGACAGGGTTGAGCTTCACTGGTCACATCTTGATTGACTGATGATTTCCTATGTGTAAATATATTTAAGTAATTTCTTGATACTACAAAATATTTTTTAAAAAAATTTTAAAATAATTTAATTTTTCTTAAAACAAATTATATACGCACTTTGACAATTAGACATATAGTTTTCAAACATTACCCATAAAGCTATTTGATTATTCTCGAGTAGAAAAGCCTACTTATTATCGGAACAAAATGACAAATATATATATATATATATATATATATATACCTCATAGTTTCCGATACATCAATTTTGAAAAAAAATAGTCCATTATAAATTCAAGTTTATCTGTCAAGAAATTCATTTATATGAAATATAAAAATTATTTTAATTATATAAATATATATATGTATGTGTATATGTATATATAAGTAGTATATCATTTCATGTACGCTTAAAAGCTTCACTTATTGTTGCATGAACCGATCGATAAACAGAGGTTTCACTCAACTGTTTTTGAGTTTTATTCGTTTCTTATGAATTAAATTTTGAAAATAAAAAATTCCACTTGAATCCATTGAACAAAAAAGAAAAACCAATGTTTAAATTGTCCTTTGAATTTATTTATTTATTGATCATTTTTCAATGTTGTCAAACATCTCTTCTTTTTTTTGTTTGTATATGGTTGACAAATTACCTACATCAACTGTGAGGAACTGATTGAATTTAGATAGAGAAATAATGTATAATCAATTTCCTAGTTTGTTTTCTCTTGTAACATTGTTAATTTAATTTTTTTCAAAATAAATAAAACAATATACGCTGTAAATAATTATAAATTAAAATTTGTTGATCACTGAAACGTAAAATCTCATCTATGAATAATAATAATGATAGTAATCATAGTTTTAACGATTGTCAGAAAAATTTTACATGATTATAAATCATATACTTTGTTTAGTGTAATTATTCGGTATATAGTCAATGCGTTGTCAATGTAAACGCTTCGATAAGTGATTCTGTATCGTGTTGTTCTTTGTTTGGTGTTTAGTGCTGAACTAAAATGAAAAACTTACTGTATCCTTATTTTAATAGTCTCTGCTCTCATGTTTCTATTGGATAATGTTTGTCATTGCAACAGAGTATCACTTAGGTTTGGATTTCACGGAGAAAACATTGTTTTCAAGGTGATAACTGTGATGTGGACAGTGGAATCTGACCATGTTGTTCGCGCGCAAAGCCAAAGGGTTCGAATCCTGTGGATGCACACTACTATTGTGTTCCATACTTGGAAAAAAACAGCCGTCCAGTGCTTCCAGGTTTTGAACGGTGGTCTAACAGTGATAGATTCATGCTTATCAATTATAAATGTACCTTATTGACTTGAGTTTAAGTAAGAGAAACAGTAACTAATGGTTTTTGATTAATCGCGCATGCTAATAAATACGAAACTATTTTACGGTTACAGTGTTGGTTTAAAGTACGATCCGTGTATCAGTTATGACTAAAACAACGGGAAATGTATTTCAATGTATTGATTTATATTATTCTTCTGAATTATAAGTACGTGAGTCATTCAAAAAAAAAACGATTTGTCGTATGTTTGTTATTTTTCAATATCAAAATAATACAATTCTAATTATTTATTTGTTAGGATTTTTTTCAAGAAATCATCTTTTGTACAACAAAGAAATTAGCAAAAAATAATGTGTTTTTTAACAAAATAAAAAATATTTATAACCAAATAATGTCATTCATTTGGATTGCCCTTGATTCTACATTAAAAACGTATGTTCCTCTTCATAAGTATTCCAAGCAAACGTACATCCATTGATATCCAAATGTTTTAACCTATTAGGAGGAAGCAGATCCTTTTCATCTAGATCAGTTGAACAATAGACCTTTCTCTCTCTCTGGTCAACTAGTCTTGTATAGAAAGAAAGTTGGTCTTGTCCTAATATCAGGAGATCAACATTTTAAAATATCCTGAAGGACAAGCATTATCAACATTTGTAAGAGTTTATGCAAAATCAGCTGAAGATGATTCAGGTAGTCAATCTTTCTTAAAGAGTCTTATTCTGTTGTGGTCGCACTACTTCGACAAAGTGGTGATGGCCTTCTAATACCAGACGGTCTTCGAAATTCATTTTTTGATCGATGTCTCATTAATTTATGAAATCTATCTGTAAATGGTTTGTGTTTTATAATTAAAGATGAGTTATTTGATAATTTAAGTACCGGCTTAATATCCATCTGTTGTTCACTAGATTCATATACTACATCTTGATTATTAAGCCAAACACTTTGACGCCGATTTTCTGTATTACTATGAAGATATTTTTTACGTCGATATATACGTTTGAATTCAGCGATAACCTACAACATAATAATATAGACAAAGATGTAATTAAAAGTGAAATGTACGAACAGTCACTGCTGCTATTTGCTTTTCCTAAAAAATATGTTGTATGATTTGTGTATGTAGGGTTGCAAGTTGCTAATGACTAACTGGATTGTTCACTTTCTATCGAACAATCGTATAAATAATAGAACGATGTTATTGTAAGTAGGAAAAATTAGTGTTTTCCCAGTCGTTATCGATTGTTTATTTGTTATAGCAGCTTCTGTTTATCATCGAATTTGAGCAATGTTTCCCCTTGCAAGTATATTTCCACCTACTTTAATTAATGTAAAGATGTAACCATCAAAAGGATTTTGCATATGTTAGGTTCGTCACTAGGAAGGCTTGAAGCTATTATGGGTTCATCTTAGTCGATTAACGCGAACAAGACAATGAACCAGCTTCCAGATAGGCTACCTAGATCCGAAAACGGCAAAAGAGAAGTCTTGATAAGCGTAGAAAGTATATTCTACAACACCCAGCAATCACACAATACAATCAAGCACACAAATCTCGTTTATTTATACATCATAGAAACGTCCCTGGGACACTCACAAAAATAGCACACTAAAATACACAGCAGCCAATCACAGCCACGGGTTTTTTTGGTTGGAAATGAAATCTCAAGCTCGACTGATAAGCCCATGCTCGCAAATGTGAAAACCAAAATAAGGCATTTATGAAGCGAGTTCTGAGGATCGAACGTCCCCAACAATACAGCGGCTTTATTCTTAATTCATGTAAATGATCTATCCGTAGGTCAAGATGTGCATTGTGACTTTTGAAAACATTGTTTTGTTTTCTGTTGAAGTGTTTTTCAATCAAATTCTACCTTCATTTATGTACAGAATACTGTATAGACTAGTTACAGTTACAGTTATAAACTAATAAATGCTAGAAAAAAAATAAGGAGGAGTATTGACAACCGTTGTGGCCGAACATTGAACAAGGCCACCATACAAAACGATCGATAATAATTGTCCATTAGAGAATTACTTGAAGTCGGAAATTTGAGATATTGAATGTTGACTGACTAAGTAGCTTATACATTTTGTGCTGAACGTATGACTTTAAAATCCTGAGTTGTGTAGTAGTAGTCCTATGCGAGGAGGAAATGAATGGTTGTTATTTTCTGTTTTACTTAATGACCGTTTTTACTAAAATCACTCTACGCTGTTACATATAAATTATAATAACTAGATATACATTTTCGATGAAAATTATGATCAAATTGTTGATTGTTGTAAGACGAGTATACATAAACTGTAATTATTTGATATTCATCGTTAGCTTACCTCTTTATTGATAAAACAAAGTAGGATAGCAACAAACGAACCCTACAAAAAATTGTAAAAAGCATAAATACATTTTCAATATTTAACTAAAGTGCTATCAGTAAGATTGGTTTAAAAAAATATAAAGTACCTTGTGACTGAAATTCAAATGTATTCATTGAGTTGTTTCAATAAACACTTGTGGTGATGTCATTTCTTGATATGGACAACAGAGTCAACTTAACTAATCAATTTAAAACAGTTAGTTCCTTTTATAAATTTTGATAGAACAGTGAGAAGAAGATGTAATTGATCTGAAAAATGTTGTGATGTATTTGCGCGCTATACATTTTGAACAAACTGATCACACATATATACACTTGTCAAGACATTTTTCATATGAAGATGAATAAAAGGTCAATTAAATAAAAGTTCAAATAGACATAGGGTGATAATTGTAAATAAAGGAGAGAGGAAAACTCAACGTAATATGAAAAGAATAAGAAGGGGTAGGAAAATTGTCACATTACCCTAGGATTGGTAAAATGCCTCTTCAATAGGGCTCAAAGGATTTGACGACGATGCAAAATTCTTAACTGAAGCATTGATTTCAAATGGCTATCCGCTAAAGTTCATCAATAGGTGTAGAGATTAGTTATGACAAAAGCAAGTTTTTCATTCTGATGAGAAGAAAAAAGTTTATATCACTTTACCATTTAGAGGTGGAGCAAATGGTATGATATTAAGACAGAGACTAAAAGCAGCCATAGAGAAAACATACAACGCTGCTAAACTGATTATCATTGAAAAGACCAAGTCCATGATTTCACATATACCTAAACGTTGCTCGAATGATTACACCACATCCCATTGCATTTATCAATTTACATGTTTGTGTGGACACACATACATAGGGAAGAGTAATCGGACTTTGCAATCAAAGGTTATGGAACATGTACCTAAGTAGCTTCAAAATCAGTTAACGTCAGATGAGCCGATTAGCGTTGGAAATAGAAAACCATGTTCATCGATCGCAAAACACACAACTGAGACAGGGAATAAGATTGGCAACATCAAGACAGCCTTCAAAACATTGTATAGAAATGTTGAAGGAAGAACTTTGAGGTTTATGGAGGCCTTGGCTATTAGAAAATTAAAACCTCCCTTATGTGCGCAGAAACAGTTTGTCATAACCTTGAATTTATCCTGCTAATCTTTAAGCCTCTTTAAGCCTAGGGTAATGTGACAATTTTCCTACCCCTTCTTATTCTTTTCATATTACGTTAATTTTCTCTCTCCTTTATTTACAATCATCACACTATGTCTATTTGAACTTTTATTTAATTGACCTTTTATTCATCTTCATATGAAAAATGTCTTGACACGTGTATATATGTGTGATCAGTTTGTTCAAAATGTATAGCGCGCAAATACATCACAACATTTTTCAGATCAATTACGTCTTCTCACTGTTCTGTAAAAATTAACTAATCAAGTATGCTGAGGAAAACTCTGAAAAAAAATTCCATACACATCATTCACTTTACATGATTAGATATTCGTTGATAATTGAATAAAATCCTAAAATAAATTAAATGTGAGTTGGTATTTAGTTGACTGGAAATATTTGTTATCGATAGCGAAATTCATGAAAACTACCTTTCCCATTGTAATCTATCTTTTTATGGATTCTGTGTAATATTTGAAATTTAGGCTTCAAAATTATTAACGATTAATATTGAATATAAAACAGCAGGATGTAAGCCATTAATACCGTTTTACTTAGTTGATGATAATTCCGTCTAATATGTGATATGTTCGGCACTTAGGATGCTTGAGGCTATTACGAGTTTACCTTAGTCGATAAACGCGAACGAGACTTTTACCAGCTTCCAGGAAGGCTACCCTGAATCCCAGAATCGAAATAGAAGACTTTGTAGGCGTAGAAGTATATTCTACAAGCACCCAGCAATCCCAGTCCAATCAAGCATACAACTCTCGTTTATTTATACAACATAACAACGTCCTTGAGACAGTTAAGAAAATAGCATACTGAAATACACTGCAGCCAATCACAGCCATTGATTTTGCTGGTGGGAATTGAAATCTCAAGGTCATTTGATCAGCCCCTGCTGGCGAACGTGAAAACCGAAATACGGCATTATCAAGCGAATTTTGGGGATCTAACATCCCCAACAATATGAATAAAGTATATTGTATCATAAATTGAATTGATAACTATTTCCGTGACAATTAGGCATCAAGACGAATTGGACAGAGATGCATGCTAAATGCCAGAGCACGTATACGATTGTTATGAGTTAACGAATAACATCAGTGTGAATTTAGGAAAAAAATTGAGTATGACAGCATGTTGCTTACATTTGACTTTCTTTCATATATTTAACTTCATTAAGCCCTTCAAATAAATTACTTAATCGTGTCATTTGGAACAATAACAATTCATTTCTACATTTGCAATATCGTTACGTTTTTAAAACAGCATATTAGCTTGATCGCTTGTAATCACCTACACATACTTCTTTCATTAGCCTAAATGTTAGTTACTTATTCGTGTCCCCAAATATATATGATCGTCGCAAATGCTTCCTATTTGTTCTCCTCCATTCGCTAATCTGTTCATATTCACTTCGTGTGCTTTTGGTTTTATGATCTAAGCTGCTCGACAGTAAACGGTTATGAATACTTCGTATTGTATATTGAAATTTATACACCATTAGGAGTTAGTTACTCAGTAACAGTTTACAGGATGAATAGCATACGAATTTCTCGGGAATTGTCTAGAATGTAATGAGTTACAGTATCTTTATAGTTCTTTAAATTATGTTTAAGTTACAATCAACATTTGTGCATTGTTGAGAATTAGTATATCACTTGTCACTCACTGTTTCATTAAAATGGCAAAATCCCGAATTCAAATACACCTGTTCTACACATTAGCGATTATTTTCAACATGTAAATACATTTCTTGGTTGTTTTCGTCAATATTTTGCCATTATGTATGTGTTCAAACATTCTATATTTAAAAGTTCTAAGCCGTTTTCAAACTTAGATGATAATCACTAAAATTAATATTTTCTATCCTACTGATAACAGCAGTTCGACAGAACATCCCTATTTACTATCTTTTTAGCATATCTTGGCTAAACAAATGAATTACAAACTCTCCATACTCCATTGATACCATCAGACCATCTTTCAGACTGAATACAAAATGGTGTTCGATACTAAATGTCATACAACAATGTTTTGTTTATATTGAGGATTAAGTGATCTCAAAGGACAAGACAATGTCAGTTAATCATTCACATATTACTGCCAATAAATAATTTTTATCCTACTAAAAAAATTCATATTTGCATTGTCTGCTTTATGATCTTCATATATATATATGGTTAGCTTTCTTCATCGTTAATCTCTGAATTAACAAAGTTTCACACTGCTGATCATAATATGTGCCAGGTTGAAAAGTTGCCTAAGATCGATCAACTACATCAAATTAACAAAAAAAAAAATCAAAACAAGAACTATCGTAAATTTTAATTTCCCCAAGGTTTTCTCCAATAGTCATTTATTATTGATTAGTCCAGAAGAACATTGTCAACAAGAATGATTAGTTAGTTTTCAATTTACCTGAAAAGCTTCCATTATTTGTTCATAATAAAGTTTAATAATTTCCAGTAAGCCAGGTCCATTGGTATGTGTATTAATTTGCATTAAATTTAATGGTATTAAAAATAAATGATATAGACCAAAAACAAGAACAAGCACTGAAGTAGATTTAAGTAGTGTCCTTTGAAAAAGTAAAAAAAAAACAGAAAAAGGTAACAGTAACATAGAATATTGATATTTTAATGAAAAGAGAGATATTTTTAATATTGTTGTAAATTACATAAGATTGAATTAGATAAAAGAAGGAGTATTTCATGTACAACTATAGTGATCATAGTTTCTCATCAGTTATCTAGTTGCATTTGAAAATAGTATCCTTTACACTTAAGAGAACTCAATGAAAGTATGCATAAACAAAGAATTCGGTCCCTAGACATGACTGTTGTTTTATTAAATGTTTTCTAGCCTGTTTATATTTTATATTTAATAAAGTGCATCCGTGACCCTATCATAAAGAATAGAGCTTTTCGCCAAAGACCTAACTGCTAGACTTCTGAGAAAGCATCCTATTGTAGTTTGTCGATTTACTGCGTGTTCTTAAGATCGGTAATAAGCTTGTCTAGACAATCATTACTAACTAGCGTCTGACGGTTTGTAAATCAGAAAGTGAACTAGTAGTGTTGAATACGTTTATTTTGGGGCACACCACAAAGCGAAGCGGAGAAGCAGTGAATAAAAACGCATCACAACTCTAATGCAGGCAGACTTAATAATGTACGGATTGAAAGAAACCCAGGATATCCCAGGGTCAAACTCGAAATTTATTTGTAAGGATTCTGCCAAATATAATTATACTCATCACTTCCCACAATGGACAAGCTATCGTATCCTTGTTTGCTGGAAGGTAGCTATTGTAGTGCCTCCACGTATATTCGAGTTCGCTTACATTTAACTTGGTTAAGCCCTTTCGATTAATTTATTTATTTAACCAAGCCACTTGTATTGCAACAATTTATATGTACCATTCGTTCTTATTATTGTCTGGTTTGTATGAGCTCACACGCGACGCGTTCCACTTGTCATTTGACCTTGTCAACTATTCGTCGCTTTTATTCATGTGTGCCTATTTCTGTCTGTCTTATATTTGTCTGATTATCTATTCTTAATCACACTCTATCTCTTTGAGTTGGCTCATTAGCCTTCTCGAACGCGTTTCTCCCGTTCATTCGCTTCCTTCGCTCATTCGTTCGCATTATAATCCTGGTAGTTGGCTCAACAGCCTTCTCCAATTCATGTCGCTTCATTCGTTCTATTCACTGCTTCTCAGCTTCGCTTTGTGGTGTGTCATGATTTATAAACTGCCAGACGCTAGTTAGTAACGACTGTCTAGACAAACTACTAACCGAGCTTAAGAACACGCAGTAAATTGACACACTACAATCTAACTAACACTCATTCATGATATAATACGTAGAGAATAATCAGTTAGATTTTCTGATGTCAAATAATCCTATTAAGTTGGAAATAGGTAACGAAAATTATCCTTATAAATAATTCAGTACAAACCAAATAAAATATTTATGATTGCTTTCGAATCATATCAGCAAGCAATGCTTGAACAAAAGGCAACCAAGTTGAAACAAATTCATTACACTTTTAAATTAAAATAAAAAAATATTGTTAATTTTTAATGCATTCTGTCTGTAATTAAAACAGAGAGAGTGTTAAAATCTAAACAAATTTTATGTTGCTTGTTAACATACCTTAAACGTTTAGCTTCACTCATTGGTTGTGATTGTGTTTTGTTAAATATCACACGTAATAGATTGACAAAAAATGCCAAGTTACACTATATGGATAAGAAAAAATTGTAAAGAAAACTAATCAATATGATGGGATTCTATGATTGTAAAGTGTACAAAGCGAAAATCTAGTTGAATTCAATTTTAGGCTAATTAGTCAGCGATCGCAACTTTCAACTAAAACCAAAATCAGAATTTTCAATACAAATGTCAGGACAGTTCTGCTGTATGGAGTGGAAACTTGGAAAACTACGAAAGTCATCATCCAGAAGATAAAAGTGTTTATTAACGGTTGTCTACGACAGATACTTTGGATTCGTTGGCCAGACTCCATCAGCAACAGCGTACTGTGGAAGAAATCAAACCAGATTCCAGTGGAGGAGGAAATCAGGAAGAAGCGGTGGAGGTATATAGGACACATACTACCAAAAACACAACCGCGTCATGAGACAAGCCCTCACATGGAGGCCTCAAGGTAAAAGGAAAAGAGGAAAACCAAGGAACACATTACGCCGAGAAATAGAGAAAGATATGAGAAGAATGAACAAAAATTGGACAGAACTGGAGAGGGAAGCCCAGGACAGAGTTGGTTGGAGAGGCGGCCTATGCTCGATTGGGTGTAACAGGCGTAAGTAAGTAAGTAAGTCAGCGATCGCGTCTATTACTCAACACTAATTATCATGTAAACCTAAGAAGTAAAATAATGTGTGTAGATTGAACAACAACACTACTTAAAGAAAGAAAGATTGTGGTTGACAAAATTCAATTTTTTAAAATTGTCTATTCGATGTTTCTCGACAATTTTTGTTTTTAGACTAGTAATTTAAGCCAAATTGTCTGCTAAATTGCAATTTATAGACATAAGAATACTTATGTTGTGCAAATGTCTCTGTCAAAAACACTACACAACTACTTCAACATTTCATATTTCTAATATGATAAGACATGCAATGAAATCATCAGAATATACTTGAAGATTCTAAATTCATGTAAAAATTGCATTAAAATTATGTATACTAATGTATTAAGCTTTGACGAAACACAATACACGCATGGTTGAACTCACAAACTAACTATTCTACAAATTGAAGCATCCAAGGTGTAAGGGAAACAAATCTTATCGTATTTTTTTTTACCAATGATTGGTAGTCCCAGAGACATAAACTGGCAAGTACGGATCATTATTAGGCATCTTTTTTTTTCATTCTAGTTTGAAAGTACTCCGATAAGTTATTTAATGATGAACAGCCAAATTTCCTTGTAATTAATTTATAAAAATCTATAGTTCTTGAAATATTATGTTCTCAATAATACTAATCATCGATGAATTACCTCCTAGAAATTTAATTTTTTAAAACTGAAATCTCATCACACAATACCTAATTCCTAACGATTTATAAATAGAAATGCGTATCTAGATTAAATAAAGCGATTTTCTTATTCAATATACAGACGAAAGTGAATTGAAATTCTACAGTGAACTCCAGTTTATCAAGGACATCGAATTATTGAATTTTAATGTACTAAAAATAGTAATTTTATTTGACTTGTATATATATCTAATAGTAAGAGATAAATGATAATTATTTGTAGTTAAAAATCACGAACTGATCAGTGTTAGATCGTCATTAGAACATTGTTAGCACTAGAATACCAATTCTTTCCGGTATGAGACTTATTGGTAGTGCACATTTACCATCTTGCAAGCGGGAATCGAACAGAGAACCTTCGGTCTTGTGCGCGAACATTCAACCTCTTGACTACTGAGCTTTAACTGGGTTGAAAAAGCCATCAAGTGAATTCAGATTTGTTATGGTGGCCTAGCACGAATCAGTTTACGATTTCACCGAAATTGAACAACTTCCTTAACTCTAGGCTTTGTAATTATTTTGATAGATCTCAGCCCATTTTACGGTAACTCATATTAATATGACTTGGTAATGTTAGATAACTGAGAGAAGTATATTCGTTTTTAGATGAATAACGTTAACTTAATATAGTGCTGAGATTTGGAACTCAAATTAAATGTTAAGGTTCTTCAATTTTTATTTCCTTCTGTTTAAAATGAATCGAACATTTAAAATTAATAACTAACCGACTTTTGGCTAAGGGATCAACGAGGCAATCACTTCAACATGTCACGAAGTTCTGGGTCACAAGAAGTACCATCACAAGGATTGGATGTCTGTTGATACTCTTGAAAAAATTGAAGAAAGGAGGAACAAGAAGGCAGCAATCAACGTCAGCCGAACAAGAGCAGAGAACCTTAACACACAAGCTGCATACACAGAAGCAAACAGAGAAGTGAAAAAGAGCATGAGAGCTGACAAACAAAAATATGTGGAAGATCTAGAAATGACGGTGGAAAAGGCTGCAAGAGACGAAAACTTGAGACAATTGTACGAAACAACAAAGAAGCTCGAAGGAAACTATCGTAAACCAGAACGACCAGTGAAAAGTAAGGAAGGCAAAGTAATCAGCAACACTGAAGAACGGAGAAATAGGTGGGTAGAGCACTTTCAAGAACTCCTGAATCGACCAGCCCCGCTGACCCCACCCAACATCGAAGCAGCATTCACCGACCTCCCAATCAGTATTGGCTCACCTACGATTGAGGAGATCAGTATGGCCATCAGACATATCAAGAGCGACAAAGCAGCAGGACCAGACGACATTCCAGCAGAAGCAATGAAAGCAGATGTGGAAGCAACTGCGAAAATATTTCACATTCTCTTCAAGAAGATTTGGGATGAGGAACAAGTACCATCAGATTGGAAAGAAGGATACCTGACCAAAATACCAAAGAAAGGCGATCTCAGCAAGTGTGAAAACTACAGAGGCATCACTCTTCTTTCAATACCAGGCAAAGTCTTCAACAGGGTATTGTTAAACAGAATGAAGGACTTCGTAGAGTCAATGAGGTTTACCAGATCATTGTATAAGAAATCAAATCGTTAATTATATTCAATCGGAGTCAACTAGAGGCTAAATGCATTTATTCTGTGAATCATCAGAGAAGTTATCAAACTTCTTCAGTGTGTTGAGTTTTGTCGCTCTTTACAGTTTGTAAGTTATTCTGAATGAGATGTTACTCAGTTGTAAGATATGTCATATTTGCAATTAAACACATTTTTTCCATATTTTTCAATTACTTGTAACATTTTTTGACTTCTACTTTGAAAACAAACAAGTTATCTGAAGATAAACGAAACTTGAACTGGACGATAATTCAACAGAATGGGACAAAACGCATTGAAAACTAACTCTTCCCTTTCACTGTGTAACTAACCTACTGACTTGCTTGATAATGCAAAACAACAGTTCAGCTGGAACTAGAGTCCTTAATTTTAACACACCACATCAGTGTTTATAAGTGCCAGATGGCTTTAGCAAACACTTGAGAATTATTAGATTTTAGTCAAAAAAATCAATTCATCAAGGAATGAACACTTTTTAAATTTGTTGGGGAGGTCAGATACCCAGAACTCACTTGATAAAGGAGGTACTAATGTTGGACTTCATGTTTTCACGCATGGGCTGAACAGTTGACCTTAAGATTAAAAATTTCCCACTCGGAAAATCCTTGACTCTAATTGGTTGATGTATTATTTTAGTACGCTATTTTTCTGATTCTCCTAAGGACGTTTCTACCGTGTATAAATGAACTCGATTTGTGTGCTTGTTAACCTCAAATTTCTGGGTGCTTGTAGAATACACTTTCTACACTATATCAAGACTTTTTCCTACAATTAGTAGGGTCGAGACCAAGTGGATTAGAATAGCCTATCGTGTCACTGCATCATTTGTCTTCGCTCTCGTTTACCGAGTAAGGTGAACTCGTAATAGTTTCATGAATATCAACTGACCAGCATTTCATTGACTTAAATGATTCAAATCACCAAATGTTTTTTAATTGGATTGCACTAAAAGACTGAATATTTTCGTGAGGAAATTCTCGGAGTTCTAGTTGAGAAGATGTGACAAATGGAATTCAACCCTGTCGGGTGTAGGTAGTAACTACCAAAGACAAATGGGTGAGGTCGCGGAAAGTCTGTATATCACTCAGAGTTAGACATTAAAACCGTCGGAAGCCGGCCCAGTGGTCCGATGGTTAAGCGTTCGCGCACAATATCGAAGGTCCCGGGTTCGAATCCTGCGAGGTGCAGGAGTCGTCGATGCGCACTGCCACTGATGAGTCCCATCTCCGGACGAAACGGCCGTCTTTCAGGTTTCTAATGGTGGTGTCTAACAATGATTGATTGATGATTTCAAATGTGTAAAAACACAAACCTCCAAAAACTCTGACCGATTATATAATCAACAGAGTTTGTTCAATTCAGTGAGTTTTACACAAGAAGAGAGGGAAAAAAAACTTACCAACATAATTATTGCTGGATAAACAATTAAAAGTATCCTACTAGGACTACCAGCGCCTATATCTAAATCCCAGCATTGATCACCTGTTGTCACAAATATTCTCAATAAAACCCAAGCAATAATGACCAATATTGGCAGAGCTAAAAAGTAAAACAACGAAACAAACAAATTTCACTGAATAATTATGAAATAGCAAAACTTTTTCCAAGTGATAAAAGTTGTGTCAATTCAAATCAATTATTTTTTTTTGAGAGCATAGTAAAATACGTTGTTCAGTTTACAAGTGGGTTCTTTTTTGAGTGCCATTTTTTCTGTATCATATACCATGTAGAGAATATTCAAGTTGAAAAGAAACTTTGTAAGGTTTATTTAACAATGGAGATACTGATAAGTGATTGTTTAAAAAAATAGGATAAAGTGGAATAAACTTTCAGTGTACTGGATTTTTTTTCGTTGTTGTTTGAAGCGGGAAAAAAAGATGTTTAAATTCTAATAAGAAATAATTCGTGAATGACAAGAATCAAATAATAATTGTTTTACTGTCCTTATGGTTTATGTAAGGGGCATAGCCTAACATATATATATATATATATGGATAGATAGATAGATAGATAATCTTTATCATAGCTTTTCTGAACTTTTCAAGTCTTGTCGTAGTGTTTCGTTCTCTGAGCTGGATGTTTTGGTTGTTGAGCTTTCATTGTTCCAAATGGTTTTAAATAGCTGTGGCACACAAACCAACAGAGTCACTTAAATCAATCCTATGTAGACCGAAGGACAAGATGACAAAAGAAGAAAAACCAAATATCATCTACAAAATAAATTACTCAGATTGTGAAAAACACTACATAGGACAAAGTGAACGGTCTCTTCAGCTTCGTTTACGTGAACACCAATTAGCAGTCAAACGCCACTACAATTCCTCACTCATATTAAAACACACAGACAATTATGAACATACGTTCGATCTGAATAATGTTGAAATACCGGATATGGTGAGCACAAAGTACACTAGAGAATTTTCAGAAGCTTGGCACTCAGGTCAATCAGCAATCGACAAACACATCGATACTGACCCAATTTATCAAGCAATCAGACAAACCATAGGCATACATAGGACAAACAATCAGATGAAAAGGGGAATACATTCAAAACAAAGGTGCAAACAACGACAGGTCAAAGGTCAACAGCAAACAATCAAGATCAAGGTTAACGGAACAAGCTATGGGTGATACATTGCAAATGTCGAATGCTTCACTTCTGTTTGAAGTTTTTGCTGATGATGTTGTTCAAATGAACAATGAAAGCTCCACAACCGAAACATCCAACTCAGAGAACCAAACACCACCACCACAACCATCCACTGGAGCTACAAATCTTCTCCATTTTTCAAGTCTATAAAAGTGAACACTTGGTGCCTTTTGTATCATTTTTTATTGTATTGGTCTGCAAGTGTTATACCTTATGATGCTGCTTGATAAATAAACAATAAGTTTTCGAATTTAAAGTTTCTTTTCTCCATTATGATATATATGTTCACGATTATTAAAATATTGCATATATTTTGAGATGGTGAAGAAGATTTGTACCTGCGGAGGATGGTTGTGGTGGCGGTGGTGTTTGTTTCCCTGAGGTTCTCCAGCTCAGAGAACCAAACACCACCAAAATTGTGCATATATTGATAATCTGATGTGCAAGAATAATAAATCAGCGCATTCAATAACTAACTGAAAATTAAATTGGATTATTCTTTATACAGTTTTTAAAAAGAATAGAAAAGAAGCTTATTGTTCAACCTATCTTACGTGATGTTGACTTTAACCACTGTTACACTTATGATTTACTCATCGAAGCTAATTACTTTTATGTTGTCATCAACTGTTATATCAAACAAATTTATGCAAACATTGTATGCCTCTAATATTAAGCCTTTTTTAATTTGTGCATTTATTGATGTGATGGTCAAGAAACTGTTTAGGATATTCGATATTTATTTTATACAAACTTTTGATTCAAATTTTCTCTACTTAATAACTTGATGACAAATGAAAACAATAGTCTGTTTGTTTATTTGCAATTAAATAATTATATATATTTTCGGGCAGAGTTTGGGAGGTTTGTGTTGATACACATTTGAAATCATCAATCAATCATTGTTAGACCACCATCCACGAGGTCGCGCAAAATCCGTAGATCAATCATGGTTAGACATTAACACCGTTGGATGCCGGCCCAGTGGTCCGATGGTTAGGCGTTCGCGCACAATACAGGAGGTCCCGGGTTCGACTCCTACGAGGAGCTGGAGTCGTGGATGCGCACTTCTGATGAGTCCCATACCAGGGAGAAACGGCCGTGTTTTAGTGCTTCCATGTTTCTACTGGTGGCCTAACAATGATTTCAATTATATATATATATCATTCATTCCATTTCTCTCCTTTCTGTTCGCATATTTTCGCAGATAAGATTCAATTCTGATCACATTCAGTCAGACAGAAATATCAAGGTTAAAACTCTTGATAATCATATGACTGTTTATCTAAAATAAACGCCAACCAAATGCTCAACAATTAACCTATAAATAGATTACTGAAGTCTAACAGGCTAGAATGTATCCCCAAATCATGTTAATTTATTTTTCAACTTCTATTCATTGTATTGATTGTATTTTTATTCTACGATTTATACGATGCGAATCGTTGCGGTGTTATTTTTTTCACATCACGATAACTGCGGGTGTTTCTTTCCATCGTATACTGTGTCTTCATTGTCAAATTTTTATAGTGTACCTACCTACCATGTAGTAACTATACTTTGTCAGTAAAGAAATTGTCAAAATGTAGGTTTACAAATATAAAAAAAAACAAAAAAATATATATCATGTCAGAAATAAGACAAGCATCATTGATAACAGTGTAGCATTCATTTATTGTGATATGTCATGCTAACAATCTTAACAATGATGTTATTTCTATGAAGTTTGAAAATTATGCAGTTGTTCCATTATATGTACAAAACACTAAATATGAGACACAAATGAATGCAACCATTTATTTCTTTGTGGTTCATTCGCTTCAGTCAATTTCTCACGAAAACCAACCGCAAAATCGAACTAATCATTAAAAAAATAAACGAGTAGGCTGAAAACAAGTCACTTTTTGTTACCCGTCAAGTTTTCTAATCGATTTCTCATAAATTCAGCTTTCAGTCAGAAAGTTTCTGCAAACTCAGTCAGTCAGTCAGTCAGATGCATAGTAGAACTTCGTACGTAAGTACATCAGTTCATACTGCTATACCACATCAATTCAAATTCAATAGTAGAAGAGGTAGTGAAGGTATCAGAAGTAATCGGAGAGTTTTGGATTAGGAGATATTATTCAAGAAGTATAATTCAGTGAGATTAGTTTAGAAAGACAAAACTAGAGGTGTTGAAGAATCCAGAAGATTAGGATTTGAGAGAACACAAAGAATAAATGCACCGGCGCCATTGCAAACGATTGTGAGCCATGTCATTCAAGGTCTCTAACCATCGATTATTATTATTATCTCGCGGACACCAACCAGGTAGTCGACAATTACTGACATGACTCAGTCCAGTTGTCAGTGACTTCATGGATTTGTGCCATGTTTTGATCTGGCCGCCAATAACTTTCTTCGAACCTACTCCTACACCACAAAACAAAGCTCGTCGAGGCAATTCCGCAAACTACTTACTGCTTGCTCCATATGAATATTACGTACGAATTAGGAAAACGATGTTGACTTTCCTTAAAAAAAGTACTATCGGAATGTTTATTTGACTATTTTAACATTATTAACAAATTCCAAAAATTCCATGTTTACATTGACTATGAGAGAAGTTTTGTTGTTTTAAGTCATGCGCAAAATGACATTGTTTTTTTATTTCATTTTATTTATCTCAGATTTATATAGATATTACTGAATATTTGTTTAAATGAAAACTTTTTTTTCAAAAATAGAAACATCTTTAAATAAGAGATAATTTGTTATAGCTTAGAAATTTTGTTATTTTTAATGACAAGTAAAGCAATGATATTAAAACAAGTGTGAATGATGCGGAACTGAAATTTAAAATTTGCAATATTTAACAAAACAATACTGAACAAGAATATGATTGTTTATTTCGTTTTAAATCATCCTAAGACATATATTTGTTCATAATTATGGTTCTAAACTAAATTATTACTCTCATCAAATATGTTTGAACAATTGGGTTTTCCCGGTGCATTGGCAATTAAGTTCATTAGAAGAGAATAATTTTGAGCAGTTAAGGCAATTGTATTTACAATAAGCAGAATGCTGTTCAATAATAGTTGTCAGCTTATTTACTAATATATATATATATATATATATATATATATATATATATATATATATATATATATATACATATATATATATTTCTAAACGAAGTTATTCATAGGTAACTGGTTTTCAATCATAGGTGTCTCTGAAGCATTGCTAGTGTATCGTGGTACAACCGAGTAAGCAATTCTATGGTTAGGAAACGAATACTAGGTAGGGATGGCAGGTCAATGGATGAAGTATTGTAACTTCATGAATTGAGGTGGTTCGGATATGTGTTATGAATGCCCAACCACCAACTGTGGTGTAGGAATAGGTTGGAGGAAAACTATGGGCTGCAAATGGGATACATGTCACAAATCCGTGAAGTCACCGACATCTGGAATGAGTCATTTTGGTAGATGTAGACTAACTGTTTGGGGTCCGTGAGATGATAATGATCGATGGTTAGACACCCTGAATGACATGGATCAAAACCATTTGCCATGGCGCAGGTGTGTTCATTCTTCGACTTCTCCAAAATCCTCATCCTCTAGATTTTTGACCAACCAAAATAATATCTTCGACCTTTAATCTCTCCGATGACTGCGAATACTTCTACTACCTCTATTACTATCGGATTTGAAGTAACAATTGCGTCCTTGTGCCAATGTGATATGGCAACTTGAACTGATGTACGCACGTGCTAAGTTCTACGTTGTAAGTGACTGACTGATGACTGATATTCCTAAAACTAGTACCACACACTGGTTAGCCTGTTTAAAAAAATTTCCTAAGGGTAATAGAAATAGTAATAACATGACTTTGATTTTTTTGGAGTGAGAAACTTCATTGACCGTGCACCGTTATATATGAAATTCTAATTACATCTCATTAACTTGACGAATTGACTTTTTATTTCTAGTATAAAGAACGATATATTATTGTTATGAAGCATTAAAAATAATAGTCAAACAATTCATTTTAAGCAATAATTGGAAAAAAACAATTATTCAGAGCTTACACCATCCAACAGAAGCATAAAGAACAAACGATGTCCTACTTTCATGCATTACATGAACGAGAACACTGTTGTGAAGATAAAGCGCTTCCATAAGTACCCAAGAATAAGTGGCTTCAATTGTAAACACATGAAGAGTTGTGAATATTTTGCAAATTACCTAAAAATGAGAAAATACATTATTTGAAAAGATTTAAATAGTTCTATTTGAATGTTTACGTGTCATAATGAGAGTAAGTAAGTTTTCTTTTTAATATTTCTAATATAATGTTAATAAGAAGTATAAAAGATGACACTTGATGAAATTCTGCATAATTATGGTTGAAGTGAGACAAAAAGAGAATCACGCATACTTTATTACATGACTAAGTAATGACACTACACATGATCTTAGCTAAGAGAGCCGAGAAGCGAGTAATGGCACCCCGACCGTAGCTGCTACCTTGACGTGGTGGTAGGGCTTAACTATCGTGACGACCCAGCCGAGCTATACTGGCTGGAACTTATGTTCCTGAAGGTTCTACCATGCCAGGCAGGTCGGTTGGAGAGCGATGAGACTAAAAGCAGCTACCCAAGTTCTGAGGGTGAAGTCGCACTGCTGACTACTGCATACGGGTGTAACAGCAGTAAGGTGTTTCCCTCGGACAACCAGCATCTGCAGCAATGCTGCCTTCTCACAAGGAGGGAAGGGTTAGAAAATGTCACACCTCACCTTACCTCACGGATTTCCGTCTCCGGTAGTCAGGGTGCCCACTAAGGGCTTTTAAGAGCGGAGCTAATGCTCAAAAATCCTTTCATCAAAAGGCCGTGCGTGACCGGCCTCAAGCAGTTGTCCCTTGGGCTCTGCGGTCACGCACGCAGGTCTCCAAGACCAACACTAATCTATCTTCCTTTTCAGGTCCCTCAAGAAACAACTTTCCACGCTGTGGGCAGTCGGGAATTGACAACCGCCCTCATACCCGTAACAGTACGCGAGACCAAACTGGTCAAAATCAAATCCTTCTAAGTAATGACACAGACCACACATGCTATAAGGTAGGATTGGATCTTGTCCTCTCTATCTTGATGACATGATAAAATGATAAAGAATGTGGAGTTATTGGCATTCAATCTGCTCACAAATAAATGTCTAATAGTTCAGGATAAAATCTTTATCAATTTAGTTAAAGGAAGGTAAATACGTTTTTTAATCAGTTCAGATCTAATGAATCTATTCTGAATGTTTGGTGAAAAACATTCGATGTTCTATAGACTGAACTATTAGATAAAGCATCCAGTACACAGCACAATATTTTATTCTCGTTTATCTTTGAAACATGAGTGAGTCTAAGTAGCCTCCAAATGTCATGTATGGTCGAGAGCGCAGAAAGTCCGTTCTCCCTACCGAACTTCTCTCACATAGCCAGGCGTGCTAGCCGCTATCAGGGAAGTCACTTTTACTGTCTTCCCACTCCCAGTGAGGAGGACAAAGTGCAAATGTCTGGCCTTTTAATGGGTATGAAGGATTTACCGAAAGTGAGAAATCCATATTTCAAATCACTGCCACAAATGGATCACAGGATCCCGATGGGACGAAAAGCGTATAAACTTATTCTTGACCACTGGTTGTCACTGAACTGCATCTCCTAACATTGCTCTATCGCACTGTGAATTAGATATTTAGATCAAAGGCTCAGCGACTGGTCTCCAAGAAAACCGCCTGCTTCGGTTTAGCGACTCAAGCAATATCTCAGCTCACTCACAAGATCAACAACTTGTGTAAGGCATAGCTATTTAGGTGCAGTACTTATGCATTTACATAAAAAAACGCAAATTTTATTTTATAGAATGACAAAAAACATCTTGTTTGACCTACTGATTTCAGAAAATCAATCTCGTCAACACTATTTTTTCCATTTATTATATTCTCTTATAATATTTACCCTATTTATATCAGTCAATTATTTCAATCATTTTGATTTCTTGACTTTTTTTCAAAATGTAAGCATTATTAATTCATTTTGTGCATTTTCTGCCTCCAGTCATTATTGATAAGTTTATAAATCACCCTTATTTTTTTCATTATATTGATGATATACATTTCAAATTGTAGCCGATTATTAAACTGTCAGCATTATAAAATTATTTCATACAAGTTACTTTCTGTATGTTGGTTGTTCCCGTCTAATGCTGGTATTCATTCAATGCTGAGTTATTTTAAGTTATCATCATTACTAATAATGTTTACTTTTGGCATGAAGGAACAACAACTTATCAATCAAGTTGTGATTTTGTAAATATGTTTCAATTAAGTAGTGATTAAAAATTACCTAAGAGAAATTGAATCATTTAAACTCGTCAGATGTTTACCTACAGTCTAAAATTAAAATTGTATGAAGGATTAGTAATCAACAAGGAAAGTGTTCTTGTTATGTTAGTCACTTAGTCGATAAACGCGAACGAGACAATTACCAGCGTCCAGGTAGGCTACCTTGAATCCCAAGCTGAAGAAAAAAAGGCTCTATAAGCGTAGAAAGTATATTCTACAAACACCACAGCAATCACAGTAAAATCAAGTATACAACTTGGGACAGTTAGGAAAATATCGCACAAAAATACACAGCAGCCA